TCCCACCTCAAGATGGCCTAAAATCCAATTTATAGGAAAAAGCCTTTACCTAAAGGCCAGACACCTATAGGGCAGGAACAACAGCCCGTCATATGCCAGTTTTTTTCCCCATTGCTAAGTGGAATGTAATCTATGTTGCCAAAGCCCATCAGCTAAAGTTGTGATTTTGTGAAATGAAAACAAATGAGCTGTCACACAGCTGAACAATCTCCTTGAGGTGCAGATCTGCTGGCTGGACACAAACCAATGCAGTTGTTTTGCCATGCAAAAGTACGTACTGGTTCCTAATGCTTGCACCTTGAGACACTATATAGGTAAGAAAGATGTAGGAGAGAGCCAGTGCTTTGAAACTGATCTTGGTGAAGCAGAAATGAGTTGCTAATATTTAATGGTGAAGTTAATTAACTGTTGGAATGACTTACCTAGGGGATGTGCCTGGACCTTTAAGTTTCAATTGGCTGCTTTTCAAAAGCAGCTGATTTGGCTGAACTGCCAGTCCTTGGGGTTCATGCAGGAACACAAAATGTCCTGGCCTGTGCTGGACCAGGTCAGACCTGCTCAAGGATGTGCAGTTTCTATGTGCTACTCCTCTTCTGATGTTCTGCTCTCTGGGCCACCACAGTGCATTGTTTTTACAATGCTGCACCTCACAGAAAGTTCCTGGCAAGATTTAGACTTCCCCATGACATGTACAACAGTGGCCACCACACAGCTGATGTGCTGACCAGTCAGCCTCCCCACCATTAGCCATAGCTCTCTTGCAGTTACCAGTTGACTGTTGGAAAGTGAATGACCACTGTGATCCTTTCTGACCTCTGCCACCTTGGCAACCCCACAAAGAGAGGAAGAAATATGAAACATTTTGATCCTGTCCTCCCAGGATTCCCCAGACAGGGGTGGCCATCTGTAGCGACATAAATGGTAGTGGGGAAAGAGGCTTGTGATGAGCCTGGTCCATTTGTCAGGAGCCTTCCTGCGTCTCTTGGCCAATGTTGGCAGAAGTTGCTCTCATTAGAAAAGTGTTAGGAATGCACCAGTGGCAACTCCACTAACAGTGAGCAGCTGTTCTGGTGATGCCCTCCCGAGATCTGGCTCCTGCAATCTGAGCTGCTCCCTTTTTCCACACGCAAGTAATTTCCCAAAATATTTATCATGGTTTTGATTTTTGCCTGAAACTGAATTTTCTGTGACTGGAACAACATTGCTCTGGATTTGGAAAGACTTTTCACTCACCAGATGAGGGTGTACATGTGTAAAATGTTGGTAGATCTTTCCCTTCAGTTTGGTTAGAGACACAAATATTGTTAAAACCTTAGTAGTCTTACTTAAACATTAATCTCTTACAATAGGTCTGATGTGCCCATGTAAGTGTAGTTATGAAGTCTAATATATTCATGAATTAGATAGAATTTTTAGCAGTATAAAAGGACATTACATTTGTATCTTAAAACAACACAAAGTAGCATCAGGGCTGACTTTTTAACCTTTGTTTTCTTACTTTTTATTTTTTCAATGTGTGGTTGCCTGCTTTTAATGTTGCAGCAATAGTTTGTGGCCCAGAAATAACAGTATGCTGACTATGAAAGTTGGAGTGACTCATGCCTGACTTGAGAACTTCCTTCACTACGTTTCACCTTCAGGAGTCTGTCACTGTAGCAGTGTTAGCAGCAGCCCCACCAGGCTCCTGGGCAGTGCAGAAAAAGGCCAGAACTATCTGTTCTCATCAGGCACACCGAGCACTGAGCTGTTTCAGTGGAAAACCTGAGCTGCTGATGTTTCCGTAGAGATCAGCCTCGATCCATGAGAGTACTTCTCAAGGACGTAGGTCTTCAATTTTCTTAGCTATTTTCTGCAACTCTCTAAACAAAAATATCCATGCTCCAAATTCAGAAAGGTCACCGTCCCCAGCCACAAATTTAGTTAACAGCTTTCCCCTTCTATTGACTTTTTTCTCTTTAGTTAATTTTAACCCAGTGTCCCACGTGAGGAGCCTTTAGTTTCTACTTGAGGGGGTAGATGCTTACATGACTGGCTCCAGGGAAGTGAAGCTCAGCAAGTGATCACCAGTGGGAGCTGAGGTTATACATGGCATTACACCGTGGAAAGTTTCCCATCTCCTGTTGCAGACAAAATGTCTATAAAAACAATACTGCTACTTTCCTAAATTCCTGCGTTTTGCAGATGTGAAGCTCAATTTCTACAGGGGAAGCCAGGCTGTTTTGGGGGAGCTCATAGTGCTCTTTCTTTTTGCTGATGCTGCTAATTTTTGTGAGCACCGTAGAATATAGTAGAAAATTGAAACTGTGTGAAAGATCAACAAATCAGTGTAGAATGTCACGCAGCAACATCTGTTAACTTTGGCTCTATCTCGTATCCTCCTGACCCCTCCTTTCCAGCCACAAGTCGCCTGTTCTGTGAGAGCTTAGAGCGATAGGGACGTGGAGGGAGGGGGGGAAATGTCTAGCTGTTCCTCAGTGGTCTGAAGGGCTTGCAAAAGCACCATCTGGAATGAAAGCTTTATGTTTGTGTGTTTCTGTCTTTTTAGTTATGAAACAAATGGGAATTTGCTGAATGAATTAATTGTATTGGGCTGTAAAAGTCTATCTTGAGAGCTATTATACAGGGGAGCTTACAAAGCCTGCAGAGAGAAATGAAAGCAGCTTCCTTTTCTAATTAGGACTTTCAGGAAATCATTGATTACAGAATCAAATCAAATAGGGTTGCTTGGAGACATTTGATATTACTTCTGATAATTGAAATTTTAACCTAATAATAATTTTACTAGTGACACTGGAAGCAGCTGCACTCTCTAACCTGCCTTCTAGTCTGCCTTCAATAAAACTTCCCTCTTTCCTCCTACCTTGTCCAAACAATTATAGCCAATGAAACATTGCTTCCAAACTGTAGATCCCAGTAAAAAATTTAAGTTGTGAAGAAATTAGTGATACAGTAGACAGTATGATCTTAGTGGGATGGTTTTGTCTGGACCAGGTTAATGGTATAAGCTTGTTCTTGCGTTGCACTTAGAAGTCAAAACAAAACCTTGACCTGGTATGTAGAAAATTTTTTTTTTTTTTTTTTTAATAGGGTCAGTCTGTTTCACTAGCTCCTGTACAGAAGGTGGAAGAAGCTTTGTATGAGTATCAGCCTCTGCAAGTGGAGACATATGGACCACAAGTGCCAGAGATTGAAATGCTGGGAAACCTGGGGTAAGCAACACAGCAAGTTTTAATTCCTATTTCATGGCTTTATAAGTGGAAATGTTACCATCTTCACGTTGCCAGCACATAGGGTGGTGGTTTCTTTTTTTTTTTTTTTTCTTTTTTTTAAGGATCTTAACAAAAATATTAGACTTCCTGCTCAACTAACGTTTTGTTTGGGTGGATAAGCTGAAATTTTTGGTTCTCTAGCCTTTATAGATCTATTGAGAGCTGAACTGGATTGCATTAGTGTTTTTAAGGTTGTCCTTGGCAGTCATAGTGAAGTAGCTGTTCATTTTCAGTTGCACGGTATTAAAAAATAAATAAATAAAAATCTGGGGCTTAATTTACCCAGCTGTAAGCCAGTAAAAATATTAAAGTTGGGCTGTTTGCCACGGAAAAGGGTAGATTTACTTGTCGACTGCTGTCTACAGTCAAACTGCATTTGTGAGAAATGAAGCACAGAGCTTAACTTTGTCAAAAAATATAATGCAGGGCTGATCCAGCAGCTTGGCAGCATCATGGTGTGCAGCCATGTTTGGGAGGGAATTTGGGAGCCTGCTGTGCCTGAGTAATGGAGGCTGGGAAGTCCAAAAGTGACGTGTCCGCTTTCTAGAGAAGTGTTTGTAGCTGAAACGCCACCTGAAAACCTGTAGCTACTGGGATAGCAAGTGTCACCCAACTCATCACAGCCTAACTTTCAAGGTCACAGTCAGAATGGCTGGAAAACTGTGTGGCAGAATGAATGTGCAGGCTGGCAAGGCAAGAAGTTGTTTAAAAACTGAACAGTTTACATTTGGCCATGCAATATGGTAAAAGAGAAGCCACAAAGTACTGAACAAAGCTGAGGCACTTTAGTGTGCAGTTTCAGAGACCACTGAAATCCAAACGGGAATCCCATCTAGTTTACTGCTACAGGACAAGTTGGGTTTCATCCAGTCAATGTAAAGTAGATAGACTTTAAGTAAGCAAGCTAATGGTGTTTTAGAAAATTCAAAGCTGTCTGGAATTGAGGTTGTTTCCGTTTTTGTTGTCTCTACATCCTCCTGGTGCCTGTGTTTTTTATGGTCTGATATCAAACTTCTGAGACCAATTATTAATTAGCAGTTTAAACTTGGGCAGAGCCAGATGCAGCCTTCACCAGCTGTTTGGATGGAGCACAGCTCAGAGGGACCTCCAGTGTGAGGGGAGCTTTGTGGCTAAGACTTCCCACAAGTGAAAATGCTTGGGTGGTAATAGAGGACTTGCTTGGGGAGGGTTCTCGGTCCTAGTCCCTTCACCTGTGCCCCCCTAAGGTGAGTGCTGGCATCTAGACCCAGCAGGAACCCCGCACGATCCCTGTGAATCTCATCTGATTGCTTGTGACACCAGTTTGATGGCAAACCAACACCAGTTTGATGGCAAGCCAACACCTTGCAAAATAAAATCCTTTAAATGCTGCAGTCGTGTTGCAGCATCTGTGTGCAAGTGTCTTCAGAGCAGGCTTGGCTCACAGTGCTCGTGGTCTTTTCTTGGAGATACTTGGACACAGATGTCATTTTTCTTTGAGCACAAGCAGCCAGGGCTGTCCAGCTTGGCTGTGGAGGTGATGAGAGAGTTAAGAGTGACAGGGGTGCTGGGTGGCTGTGGTAGCAAGGGGGGGGGAGGCTTTGTGAGTGGGTTGGTGGTGCCCACCAGAACAGTTCATCAGAGCTCTGAGTCTGTTGGCAGTTCCAAAACAAATACATCGATGCAGTGGGTTCCCAGCCAGTACAATTCCAACCTTATTCCACGGAGTGTCTGAAATACCTTAAACCAAGCAAGGCCACTCGCTCGTGTATTTGTGTTTCTGTGTGTATATGGACTCGTGCATTTCCTGTTGATGAGGAATGCTTAGCTCATGTGCCTCAGCCCCTGCTTTGGGGGTTCCAGCAGCTGCAGACAGCTGCCTGTGTGAGGCAGAGGAGCTGGGCACAATGTTAGCTGCTCCTGCCGAGGACTTCTAGTTTCCTCTTCATTCACACTCCTATAAGGACAGGTTAAATCTAAAATGATTTAATTTTTAGTTGTTTTTTTTTGTTTGCTTCTCCCTCTTATATTCTTAATAATTTTGCTGTCTGGCTATTTATTGCTGCTAAATAGTTTATATCTGCAGGCTTTTATCATCTGAGATTCTGGAGCCAGAATTATTGCAAAGACACTGCCAACCTGGAGACTTTGAATTAATTTCTGGTAGCGTAATTTATTGACTTAGGTTTTTTTTTTTTTTAAAGATACGATTTATTATCTTCAAAATACTCAGAATGGGCTTTTTGAATATTCCCATCTTAACTTCTTGTCTTCTGCAAGACTCACTGTAGGTTTTAGCCTCAGTGTTGCTTTTCTTTCTTAGTAAACTGCTGTAATGAAGAAGGCAGTTGGCAAAAAAGTTTTTAGCAAAGAGCAAGAAAATAGGTGAATCCTTAAGGAATTACTTAGAATATTTGTAGGGTTATTTTCTAACAAAAAGAAAATCTGCTTTTTAAGATTACTTGTATTATTTGCTCATTAGGCTTTACAAAAAAACTTTGCATGCAGGCCAGTAAACTTGATTCTGCATCTTCTTAGTGCTCTTTTGTGTGGATTTTGCATGTTTTGCAAAAAAAAAAAAAGGAAATTCATGTCCAAAATGTTCTTAAAAACATGTTTTCAGTTTCTTTTAGGGCTGTGAATGTCCTTTTTTTTCTGTGTGCTGCAGACAAGTGTTAACATCCTTATGATGCTTTTTTTTGCTATAGCAGTAGAAGTCTGAGAATAATGAAGAAATAGATTATACAGAACCCCCCCAGCACAAATGACTTGTATAATATATGGGGGTTTGTGTCCTTCAGTCTCCCTTTCTCAATTATTTTTTAATGGAGGAAGATTTTCTGTAAGTAATGAAATACAGGCAATAATCCTGGATTACGTGGCTTTCTGGGAGCAGCATGTATTACACTAAATTGTAGACAGTATTTAACCTTATGGCAGGGGAAGTGAAGCTTTCTCAGAGCCAGCCTCTGGTAGAGGTTCCCTTCACTACATGTGTGTGGGGTTACTGCAGGCAAGTCTCAGTGGCTGGTGGTCCCATGAATACATGGTGAACGTGCCAGGTTGGTGATGGTTTGAACTGGGTGGTAAAGGTCACCTTGAGTGCTCATGCTGAGGACCAGCTCATGGCTATCTCTGCTGTCAAATGGAAATGTGACTTGAAGGAGAGAGTGTCTGAGAGTATCTCCAAACCTGTGGTGCTGCCCTTGGAGAAAAGGGGCATGGGATCACAGTAACGTTCATATCCTGCAGGCAGGCTCTCCACCTGCTCATCCCTCTGTGATGACTACATAGTCCTGGGTCTGTGTGACATGGTCACTACTCTAAATTACTGAAGTGTTCAGTGATGTGCCTTGGGAAATCGTTGGTTTCTGAGTAGGGTTGAAGGCAACCCAATGATGGCATTAATTTCTAGAGAGCCATGTCTTATCAAAGGCCCCAGTGACACTTGTGCTGTCACCAGAAACTGTTCGAGTGGTGTAGTTTGAGTAAGTGGGGATGGTCATCTTTTGGTTCAAATTATTCCTAATCTGTTGAACTGCCAAAATCATTTCAAGGCTGTGTGACCTACCGTGGCTTTTGGTGAGGTAAGGTGTGTGATTGAGAGAGACCATGAGCTCCTGGATGCTTGGGCACTCACTGCTATAACTTTACTTCAAGGTTTTCTAAGGAGGGAAAAAAGGCCTGTTGTGTGTGTTGGATGTTTTGGTTTTGTGTTTTTTTTTTTTTTTTTCCCCTTCTTTTTCCCTGCCACCCTAATGTTTTAGTTGAGCATACTGACTTTAGTTTATGTGGTTGGAGGTTTGTATTTTTCTTACTACAAAAGAAATTAAAAATATAACAAACCCTGGCATGCCAAGTAGTGGAAGACCAAAGCAGGACGGGTATGGAAATTAGTTTGTTGTTTTAAAAATTTCTGTTTGTGATGTAGTTTTGATGAAGAAAAAAAAAAAAAAGAAAAAAAAAAAGAAAAAAAAACAGGATCAATATGATGTTTGTTTCAGGTCCTGAAAAATGTATAGACATTCTTGGCATTAATTGTAAATATGTACATCGAGCAGTAGTGGCCACACAGTGTTCTCACACCAAGTATTTACGGCTGTGGAAGAGCCATCCACAAGCTACTTAAAAACTAAATCAAAAATCTGCTTATGTGATTAACACTTTGGGTAAAGATGTGTGAACTTCATTTCTCAAAGTGTAGAAACAGTCCCTTGTAGCCCAGAGTGGATCATACACTTAACACACCACCAGTTCTATTCTCACAAAACAAAGGTAATTTACAGGTAAGATTGAAAATTTCTGTTTGCACTCCACTTAAAAATCCTCTGCCTTAACAGAGAACTTTTGAGCAGATCTTGTAATTGAGTCCAGCCTGGGCTGCTTAAAATAAAATAGTGTTTGCTTACTTAACTTTGTCTGGAGAGATACATCCTGAATATATACACATGTATATATAATAAAAATGGAGTTTGCTCCGAAAATCTTTGCTTTTCATTGGGGAAAAATGTGACTTCCCTTTTGATTTATCAACTTGCTTTCAAGTATAACCACATTGTTAGGAGCATGCCAGTTAATGTTTTGTTTTTTCTAAATAGGATGGAAAAATAAAGCTCAGTAGTGAACACTAATAAGGTGTCCTGGTTCCGTGTAAAAAGGGGTTCAGGGCAGGACCCACACGGAACAGAACTGTGTACTCGCCTCTCCCCCACCCCCTCGAGAGAGAGAGAGAGACACTTTTTAAAAAATGAAGTATATTGTTCAACAAGGAACAGAAAATGAAAAAGGGGGGTAAGGAAAATAATATATATAAAGATCAGGGGAATAATACAAAAGATAAAATATACAAAACCCTCAGAAATGGTTCCAGGGTCCCACGGAGTGAAAGGAGAACTTTCCTCTCTGAGCTCCAAGGCAGGAGTGAAACAAAAAACCACTCCCTGCCTCTTATCAGAGTGTGT